AAAAAAAAAAAAAAAAAAAGAATAGGGAAAGCAATCTTGGAAGGGTATTTGTGGGGAATATGTCTCTTACTGCTGAAAATGGTAGGTGATGATACCAAACAGCTAGTTCCCAAAGAGAACTAAATGGCACACCATGGCACATCTTTCTAAGTGAATGCCCATTAGTCTAAAAACTGAGAAAATATTATATAAAAATAGAAGAGGTAGAAAACCCTAGACAATTGAAAATGCAGAAAAAATGTAAGCAAAGTTATTTGGATCAGGCAATATTTTAATATATCAAATATTGATATTAATAATTATGTATAAAGTAATCCACACTCAGGGTACTGACCATGCCAATAGGCAGCAAGTATCCTGACCACCCCAGAGTCCTTTGCCAGGATTAGTGTTCTATGATTACACATGTGGCCACCCCCTGGTTAAAATGGTACTTTTATTATTGATATAAAAATAACCATTCTCTAAATTAGTATATAGAGTAAATAAAATTAGGACTATACATAAGTATGCAATTAATTGCAGCTTCACTTTCAACATCTTCTGTCTATTTCACAGACCTGTAGAAGAGAAATAAACAAAAGAATATATACTTAATATCTCTATAGTGCAGGGTAGAAAGATTGAAAATTTAATGCTTTATTCTAATGTGCATGGAATTTTACAATAGCATTAACATTAGAGTACTACCCCATTACCCATATTTTTCTTACAATATACCAATTTCTGTATGTCTCTTTAAAATTCTAACCAATTAGAATGGCAAAGCACATGTTTCTAGAATATTTTATATGCTATTTCTGCTTTAAAGAGATGTTACATTTAATATTTCTTATTCCCCAATTAGACCATAAACATTTTACAAGAACACTATCAATATCCAAATTTCTCAGAGGGCCTGGAAGAGTACAATTTGCTCAATGAATATCTGTTGAACAGAAGAGAGGGTGTAAATGAAATAAAAAAGAAGAGAGGGAACAAGATAATCCAAATTTTTTCAGTACACATTTTCCCTTATATGGAATGTATTAGTTACCTCATTCACTTGTTTATTTGACTAACCCCCATAATCCTTTGTTCTTAGCCTTAAATATCACCTTCTTTGGAATTTTGGTTACTTGGCAAAAAATTTCTACTGCCTGTACTTATCTTAGCCTAGTGACTCTGTAACACTAATCATCAACATATTATGTAAGTAACTGTTTATTTTATGCGTTCTCCACAATGTACTAAGTTCCGCAATGATAAGAATCACAATAGGTGCCATGTTAAAAACAGTATTGTCTGTGACTCAAAAGGACAGAAACACAAAGAAAAAAAAACTATAAAGATTTCATATTTATGGGCAAAATAAGAGTAATTTCTTTTATTTTTTCTTTTATTTCTCTTATTTATTTATTTATTTTTTTGAGACAGGGTCTTACTATGTAGTTGAGACTGACATGGAACTCACTATGTAGCCCAGGCTGGTCTCGAACTCACAGCAATCCTCCTGTCTCAGCCTCTCGTGTGCTGGGATTACAGGCATGTGCCGCCACACCCGACTTGCATATTATTTTTATAATTTTTAAACAAAAGATTTTAAACACATTTTATAACTTAAAGAGTTACTTGTTCAGTATGTAAATACTATTCTTGCAGATGAGCAAAGAATGAATCTCATACCACAAAGAAGCAGCCAGTGATGGCATTTTTGTTTGTAACTACTCAAATGGCAGTCTGTAATGTAAATTTATGATTATGAATGTCTGTGCATTAGAAATTTAAAAACAAATTTTATTTGATATCCTCTGTTGTGACTTTTTATTGTTTTGTTTTGTTTTGCTTTTGGCAAAAATTTTGAGAAAAAGCTTTCCACATCAACACAACGGAATATATATTTATTTAGTTGTTATCAGAATAATATGTATATATCCAATTACTTTATATCTCATTCTTCCTAATGATATCACTACTTTCTATTATAAATTGTGATAATTTTTTAGTCAATCTCTTCTGTTGGTTAATAGATGTTTCTATGCTTTCCACATTTACTGTAAAAATTTCCATGCTTTGTAGCAGCATATTTTATTTTTAAAAACATGTGGCAATGAAAATACTATTCTGATGGCTACATACTGGTGCATTGTAGAAATTATTGAGTCAGTGAGTGTCCAGGGAAGACCAAACTGAATGGGCACCTAAGAAAGATAGTGAACTTCTCATTACTCAAGAGTTTCACAGAGTGTGGGTGAACATTTTATAGGGGGATTATAGAAGAGACCAACTCTCCTAATTGGATTGGGATAAGAGTAGATAACTAAAAATTCTATCCAGGTTTTATATTCTATGAATCTTTGAGCACTCAGGACAAGCTCAACACTTTTTCTCTTCTTTGTGATTTACAGAGAGAAAATAATGTCAATGTTTTTAATTTCTTATATATAAAGCTCATAGGTAGCTTCATGTTTATGGCTGTAAAATTGTTTTTAGATATTGTAATTCCACAGGATATTTGATGCCACCACAGTGTCTGTAGTTTGCCCAGTGGAGAAATATGTTTTAACTTATATCTATCCAGAAATTAATTTTTCTGTCAAGGAGAAAGGGATTAAAATCTCTGTTCTACCATGTCAGTACAGAGGAATAAAGAATAAATGGGGATGTGAGATCTACAGCTCATCACACACACACACACACACACACACACACACACACACACACACCATAAGATATTGTGCAAGGTGCTTCATGCAAAATCTTTTCTCATTGGGATGTAAAAATGTTTTAAAACCCGAACACTTAGTAGTTGTAGATAATACAATTACCTGACATTGACACTAAGTGCCCTGAGCAAACATACCAGAGTAGACCAGAGTGGGACAAGAAGAGCATGGAACACAAAGAAGAAGATCAGTGGAACCTGCACAATGAAAGAAGAAGAGGTAATATGCTGGGATAGCACAAAAATATCTATTAAACACAATTTCCTGAAGGTTTAACAGATTTCTAGTGAAAATTAACCGACATTAATAACAAAACTGCCATTAGACTTTATAGGAAGCTGCAGTTAAATGTTTAAAAATGTTTATATTCCATTCCATAATTCAGTGATTTTCAATTTAGATTTTTTTTTCATTTTAACAATAAAATTTAGGCAAAATGCCCCTCTAGGTAGTGTTGTGGATGCAGATGTGGACTAAGAGAAGACAGCTCTGCAGTCCTAAGTGTGATTCCTATCAGTACTTTGGCAGAAAAGCCAGGCACTGACACAGTTTGTTCAGCACTGAACATCTATGTGTCACATAGTGCGATGCTATTAAACATATAAATTATACTGTCATCATGAATCTATACAATTTACACGAGGTAGTGTATATACACACATAGACGCTATGTTCACATATGCCAGGCACATAATGTTTACATGCTAAATGTGATTCCTCTAAATGTAGAAGATTATGAGGCTATCTCTGAATGAGGAGAAAAGCAGTACTTAGTGGGACAATGACTCAAAAACTGTTCTAGTTGAAAAAAGTGAGGAAATAGGAAGAGAGAAACAGCAGATGAAATAAGGAAATCAAAATAGATAAGTAAGTCCATATAACTTGAAGAGAAAAAAATAGACGGTGTTCAAATTTTCAAAAACCAACTCCAGAAACCCTGGCGTTGCAAACAGTTAATAAAGATGATCCATAAACAAATGATTCCTTCTTTAAAGAATCTGGATTTATCATACTATGTATCCATTCTGTAAAATCAAAATATTCAACAAGCATATTTTCAAAACTAGCTTGATATTCACCAAAATTATTTGATAATAGGTTTTCACATGACACTCATACTTAAAAATTCTTTAAAGCACTCTCATAAGTTTTGCTTCAATTAGAGTGAAGAACAATGATTTATCTTTTGTTTCATCTGCAAACTAGGAGTAGAATGGGCTTTATATTCAGCTAGTTTTAAGTTCAAATCTTGTGTTAAGATGCTCAAGCTAGTGACCATAAACTAAAACATATCTCAGTATTTTTGACAGAGGGCAGTAATAATCAAAACAGCTTTGGAAGTATCACTGAACAATGTGCATTTAGCAATTTTATGGTATTCAAACTTAGATCACTAAGTATAAAAAATATGAATTGTAGTTGGCAAGTGAATATGAAAAGTGGTTGCTGTATAAAACTGGAGAACTTGGTGTATTGTAAGAAAGCTTGTGCAATGAGAAATCTTAGAATACATAATAATAAATTTGTGTTTGAATGCTCATTATCACTCAAAGATATCAAAGATATTGAGAAGACAGCAGTTGAGTTCATCCTATACAACAGTAGTTCTCAACTTTTAAAATGTATCAGAATAACCTAGGGGGCTTTTGAAAACACTGTTTGCTGGGCTCCTATATCAGAGTTTCTGACTCAATAAATCTGGAGGTGAGGAGCTCAAGGAGATAATAGTTCTTACATATTTCTGAAAGACGCTGATGCTGATACTGCTGGTTTGGGGACCACACTTTGAACATCACTGTTCTGAGTAACATGTACTTCAGGTTGAAGGATGAAACCAGCTGATACTACTGATACTGCTGGTTTGGGGACCACACTTTGAATATCACTGTTCTGAGTAACATGCACTTCAGGTTGAAGGATGAAACCAGCTGGGTCTAACATACTTGGAGACCAAAAAAAAAAAAAAAAAGTATTTTATGGTTACCAAAATTAGATATAAATGTGAGTTAAACAGAAAATAGAGGATTTGAGGGTCAAAAGAAAGTAGATGATAGTAAGCTAAAATGTTAGAATTGGTTGCTATGCATTTGATCAGAACATGTGTGAAAAAACATTCCTTTTTAAGAGGGTCCAAGAAGTAGAATGGTCAGACCTTGAATAAGTCACTCATAAAGGAATTAAAATTTCCTGATGACAGAGCTGTAATTGAGAGGAAAACAATGGATTGGATATATGCATTTCACATGAAGGAAGAGAAGAGATTGTTAAGATTACAGTGACAGGAAAGGAACAGGAAAACATAACAAACAACATCAGCCAAAAAAGAAAAATTTCAGGTAGAATGTCAGTGCTTGTTCATGGCTTTTGACAAGCTGCAATTGGAAGGAGGAACAGCTTCTCTGAGGGAAACTAAGAGGAAAGCAGGAGAAAGAGGAAAGGAGAGAAATCATTTTACATAAGGAGGAGAAGTTCTGGAGTATATTCTTTGAGTAGTACTGAGGGACAATCAACTTACAAATCAAATTCCAGTCCCAAAGAGCATAATGCAGAGATTTAGGAAATATATCAACATGCTTCACAGTACAAATGCAAGAAAAGATTTTATTTTGATAGTCATAGTCAAACAAGGGAGAATAGCCAAGGATAATAGGGATTAAAGAATTAACTAATCTCAAGGTTTTTAATGGAACTTTGGCAAAATGTTGTTCTTGCCTGGAAACTGATTTAGGAATCCAGCCTAATACTTCTCTTGGTTCTGAAATAAGATTGCCTCCACTGGGGAAAGGCCATTATTTTCCATACTTGTGGGAATGTAAGAAATGCAGCAGCTTTACAGGGGAATGGGAAATACAACAAACAGCGTAGATAATAGCTAATGAGCCTAGAAATGTACATATTTATTTCTTTTTGAGGATAATGTTATAGGAAAAGACACTGGCTATTTTTAGAAGCAAACAGTAACACAAATCACCTAAGGCAGAGCATCACAAATGAGTGAACAGGGCCTAAAGTAAATTCTACATCAATGCACCATGTTCACTGCAATTCTATTGGGATTGTCATAACTACAGAGAAACACACACACACACATTGTTTCTGCATTTGTACATGGTAAGGCCTCTCTGAATTATCAAAAGACAGAGGTGGAGACAAAGGCTTGACTACTTCTTGAGTGATTTTTAAAAGTCAGTTGACTAAATTCTTTCACTCATTCATTCATCCATTAAATACATAATAGGTAATTAGTCAATGTATAAATATATTACATATTTTTAACATAAACTAGGAATATTAAGACTATTTTTTCTAATGATTCAACTTTTAATTAAAAGATGAAAGCAATATAAAATTTGAAGCCTTATACAGTATAAGTGCTACAAACATTTAAATGATAACAAATATATAATCTGGGTCCAATATCAAGTTGAAAGTCATATCTAATTTATGTTTCAGCACACAAAGAAAAGCTATGTTTCTTATTTAAAGAATGTTTAATTATAATAAAGATGATATACAGTTCTGAGATATTTAGTCAACATTTCAAAACAAATCATTTTGAAAAAAATTGACGGCATGCTTTAAACAGTTGTTTTACTTTTAATAGCTCACTATAGGAAAACATGCTTAATGTAATTACTAAAGTTATTTATTCTGTCAAAATTTTAATTGTTTTATTTATCATATATGCCACTTTTAATTTTCTGGATGACATTGCTTGTAGATAATAATTTGGAGTACTGTAAATATAACTAAATCAAGTTGAAGTTTCTATTAAAAGCAGACTTCATGCCTAAATGTATTACTACTTCATTTGCATTATAGGTTTTTTTGGTTTTGCTTGTTTGTTTTAGAGTGTTTTAATTATGATGCAGAATCTTTCAGCATCAGTGAAATAAATCTTCTCTTGGTGCTACCTATACATACATCCTTTCCATTCCATATATTTTTAAGCTTCTAGAGATATAGTGAAATTTCAGAGTAAAGAGTAAGACACCCAATTACATTAAATGTAAATTGAATTTATTAATTGTGCATTTTGGGGAAATTATACTTAATAAATTTTTATAAAATTTGAGTAATAATACATACACATTAAGTTGCCATTGGAATTAAAAGGGATATTATGTGGAAAATAACAACAAAAATTAATATCAGTTCACTTCCATTTTTCTCCTCCTTTAAAGATGTGTATGTTTCTATACAAATTATGAAAAGCCAATGACTTATAATAGGCTTTAAGGAGAAGTAGAGTACTGTAATTCTAATTATGTTCTCCAAATAGACTTTGTGGTCTGTTTTATATTAGGTTATATGACAACTTTTTACATTTATTAATAAATTAGATCTCTATCTGATATAAGCTAACAGTTTCAGTGAGAAAGATTTATTATGCCACAATTTTATCATGCCAGTTTTGTGCTGAGAATTGTTATTCTACTTTCCTCTACCTTTTCTATTATGTTTGCACAAGTAGTGTTTTGATCCACAAACTGTATCTTCAGAGTATGATTTCTTGCAAGATCCTAATAACAAATATTCTACTACCTCTTCTGAGACTTTCACATTTTATAATTTTTGTAATTGAGACAGTTACATTTTATATTATGTCAAACAAATTAAAATAACCTATCTACTGGAGTGAATAAAATTTTCATTATTTTTTCTTTTTTCTTAAAATGTAATTTTTAAGTCCAAGTTAGGAGAAAAAGGAGAAAGATAATATGGTAAGTTGAGATCATTGATAATACGAATGTAGGTATGCCAAATACTATTGCACAATGAAAACCCTGAGATCTTACATCCTATGAGAATATCTAGAGCACTATATGAGATAACTATAGCCCTAACAAGAAAATGAGACATTTACTTGAATTCTTTGGAAAGAACTAGAAGTTAAAAATGAACCAGCCTTACAGAAATATGGGGAAGTGGTAAACAGCAGCAGATCAGCCTCTCTGAGATTTGGAATCCAGATAGAATATAACAACTTGGGGAAGAAAAGAAGGAGGAAACTGGATTCTCAGGACCCAGGAAGGATCAGGAGGGAGAACCAAAGATCACAGGGAAAGTGAAGAGATAGACATTGCTGCAGAAAAAGGAGTTAGCAAACTATTTTCTCCCTAACTCCAAACTTGATGCATGAGACATGAGGCTCAAATCTACAGAGACACAGTGAGGGCTGGTGACAGAGGTCTCC